TTCTGTTAGCTCTGCATAAGCAACGTCGACTTGACTGGGCTCAACGTCATCGTAACATAACGTTACAACATTGGCGTCATCATTCGTAACCAACTCGTGTTATTCCGGGACAAGCCGAATAGCGACTCGTGCCCCTCTGGAAGGATTTCATATTGGCGCATGAACATCAGAACTACTTTAAACGAGAACGATAACTCTATCCCTGTTTGATTCCAATGTTTCTTAATATCACCGAAGCACATGTACATTGTATTGCTAGGTTGTTGTTTTTGTTTTTGTTTACTTATTTATCTTAAAGAATTAATCCTCTTTGATACAACTAAAAGGAGAAAAACATATTTGTTAAAGACATCATATTCCAATGTAGTTATTACCAGCTGTTCACTTTATATTTCCAATTATGTTAATTATTTTAATAGGGTTTAATAATCAAAAATAGGAATTGTTTTATTGAATATACAAATAAAATAATATGTTTTCGGCTACATTAAATCCCAAAGCAGATACTCAAAGAAATGACTTTAAAATGTTTCTCAAACTGAACGTTCGTGTAACCTTGCTGTCACACCCCAGGTGGAATTTTAAATGAATTCGCTGAAAAAATATATGAATGACCAAAAAACAGTCAGACTAAAATATCCCCAGAGATGTGAAATATAAGCCCAATGTTAAAGATTAAGGTTAATCAGTTACATACAAGTATGATATTATTGTTTTGAAACTCGTAGCGATTATAATTACATTTCCTAAAATTGGTCGAAGCGCACGTACAATCTCCATAACAAGCCTGCAAGATCGTTAGAAATACACTCCGTTGGACCCATGAGAGCCGTTATGTCAACAAACGCACGTGTGTGTATTTGAATCTCTCACCGTCAATCGCATGATTCTTATTAAAAACTTCATAATAGCCAGCAAAATCCTGTTAGCTACGTTCTTTGTACTTTCAATATGACGATATATTTTTCATGATTCTTTAAACAATGACATAATGCCATAAACGATTTAAGTACTCGGGATTATTTTTATCAAAGCACCGCGCTCATTTACGCGCGTTCTGATTGGTTTGTTGTATAACAAGCTTCGATAGGGGGACGAGTCTTTTTGGAGGTTACGGAAAGGGGCGAGTGGTGACGAATGTGGCGTTATGTCATCTTTTCTGACGAATCCCGATTTCTTCTACAGAGGGTAGATAGAAGAATTCGAGTTCGACGATTGACTGGAGAAAGGTTTATAAAAGATTGTGTGGAAGGTCAGGTTGCGGGCGTGGTTCTGTTTCTGTTTTGGTATGGGGTGGGATTCATTACAATGGAAAAACAGAACTTCGTGTTGTTCATGAAAACGACATTTTGGAAAACCATTTGATTCCACATGCACGTCAAGTATACGGCAACAAGCTCCTGCTGCAAGATGACAAGGCTGCTCCACATCGTGCCAGGGCCGTTGGCGCTTTCTGGAAAGGAAGGGTGTTAACAGTTTGCACTGGCCAGCGAAAAGTCCAGACATTAATCCAATTGAGCACATGTGGGGCCACCTGGACAGGCAAGTGCGACAGTTGGTAGTCCCTCCTGGAAATCTGGATGACTTAGGTACAACCTTGGTTCGAATCTGGAACTCTACAGGACGAGACATTGTCAACAACCTTGGTGATAGCATGAGGCGACGGATTACCTCCCTTTTTTAGTCACGTGGCAGAGCTTCTCGCTATTGACTATCATTTTCCTGACAACTGATCATGAATGTTCTGAGACAGTTGTCCTCAAAATTCTAATCTGCAACAAATTTTGTATTGAATAAAGCTAGCTTATTCATAAGTCAGTCGCACGTGTAAAAGTGAGTAGTTTTTAAGGGAGCATGTCTTTGTGTAGTCGTTTACTAAAATCGTAGACGTATAAAGTTCTTAAGACAATTATTCAATGTTAGTAACGACCACCTCCGTGGTGTAGTGGTTAGAGCGTCCGCCCGGAGAGTGGAAGGTCGCGGGTTCGATCCCCGACCGCGTCATACTAAAAGACGTTAAAATATGGTACTTGTTGGTCCCTGTCTGGCGCTCGGCATTAATGGGTACAATAAGGACTGGTCGGCTCGGAGTCGGTATAATGTGTCTGAGTGGGGTATTCATGCTTCACTGCGGCATGGTATCTCAGTGGGCTAGCACTATAAAGCCAGCTTCAGTCTGGGCTAGTACAAGCAGCCGCACACACACATATACATGCACGTCGTCATATGAGTGAAATATTCTCAAGCACGACGTAAAACCCAATTTCACCTCATCAATGTTAGTAACATAATTTAGTTTCAATAAAGCCATTAAACAAACTGGAAGGATTAACAAGTGAAAACTGAAAAGCCGTAAAAAACCAAAACACTTAGTTATCAAAAAGGGGGTGACAACCATTATGGACATAAGTATATCTGATATTGATAGTAACAAATAAACCCATTTAGATTGGAAATGATCCCCAGTGAGTTGGGAGATTCCTGAACCTGGGGAAATCTAGACTTGCTTCATTTAGAGCTTTAGCATTGCAGGGAGGGCTAGGCAGTTGAGAAAATAATGTGGTTCAGGGACTGTGAGACAGACTAACCTATCTCTGATTGCAACCCCCGAACAAACTTCACCCAGAGACAAAGAGCCATGATATAACGGCGATATCGCCAAATAGGCGCCAAACGAAACACAGTTGTCTGTAGCCAGAACAAAGAAACAACTGACATATCGCTAAAGTGGAGTGAAACAGCACGCGCACACACGACACATTCGCCATATCTGAAACATGGGTTGGCTTACAGTAATTTTAACTACCTATAAACATTGATTTATTTGATCTCGATGGAGTTTTTTCTGAGCATGAGTCAGTCATGCTGTGTCTGGGAACAGTTATCAACAATTGTAAAATGGCCGAGTAATGGAAGGTCAGAACAAACAGATTCAGATCACGTCCCTACTTTTAATCACTCTGAACTTTAGTCTCTGACATTCTATAAACTCGTTGTTCCGTATCACACAATGCCAATTTGGCAGTAGTTCACTTGCGGCTTCGTCATGATGCAACGAGAGAAGGGTTTTCTGCTTTTATTAGCGAATCTTTGTTCTTTACTTGTTTGTTCTGTATTCATGGATACAGAATGTGCCACAGTTCCTGAACAGGATCCGAGCATCGTTCACCAAAATGATGAAGTTCCACATTTTGCCTCAGCAACAGGAAATACTCACAGTCGCCCGCGGAAACCAGCTACAACGGAAGGTGTGACGACGTCTGAGACAACGGATAGTGTGACGACGTCTGCGACAAGGGCTGCTGTGACGACATCTGAGACCACGGATAGTGTGACGACGTCTGCGACAACGGATGGTGTGACGACGTCTGCGACAACGGATGCTGTGACGACATCTGAGACCACGGATGGTGTGACGACGTCTGCGACAACGGATGCTGTGACGACATCTGAGACCACGGATAGTGTGACGAAGTTTGAGCCATCATTTCAGATCCTAATACTGAGAACAGAAGCGAGACAAGGCACATATTCCTTTGAGCTGCAATACACAGCTCAAAGCGGCGTCTTCGTCCGGGTGGCCGAGAAGACATTCAGTGGGTTTGTTGGCATTTTGAAAGATAACGACTTCAGGAACACCTTCGCAGATGGCCACGGTGTTGTCAGCGCAACATCGGCAACGCCGAGGTATGAAGTGTTGTTTGAAAGTTCTGACAGAAGATGGCAAAGTAAAGTGTTCGTCAACGTGAAAAACACGACACAGCTCAGAGTTAAACAGCTTCTCCTGAAGACCAACGTTGAAGACGAGATTGTTTTCAACAAAGGTGAAACTGTGGAAATCAGAGTTCAAACTGCCAAGAGAAATGAAAGCAGGCATCCGTTTGACAACGGGTTAGTGTTCGGTATGTACTCATTCAGTAGGAACAATACCGACACGGTGTTTGATGCTAGCTCGAACTTCCCTGGGATTATTGAGAAAACCAATACGAAAGAATTCGTTGATTACGATGAACACACGTTGGTCGTCAACCGTGGCGGCGAGGATTACGAAGGAGCTGTCTATGTTGGTATGTACATGCACAGTAGAGGTTCCCTTGAGGCATACGGCAATGAACAGACCATTACTCTCAGAATGGCACATCACCGGAACCCGTATCCTGAAGGTTCTCTTGGCTTTTTAAGAGTTAAGCAGATTCCTTGGAATACTTTTTGTATAGAAGGACGAACTTGTGCAACATTATCAGCCATTGTTGGTAACGATCCTGAAGGCATAACATTATGGAAAAGGCATGCTGATGGACGAAAAGAATTGATGGAAGTTCCTTTTCATGAATACAGATATGAGTATGTTTTTATGAAGAGATTTTATCTATCTAACATATCGAGATCGGAGGCAGGTGTGTACACCTACAGAGGCACTGACTCAACTGGAAACGTGGTTGAAAAGGACTTTGAACTGAATGTGATTACTCTTTGAGAACTGCTTTATTCCTAAACAAACTTTGGTTGTATACTATTCACACTTTGGTAAGGATCAAATCATGGATTCATCAGAAAACTATTACGTGGGGTCAAATTTTGTTTAAATACCTAAGCTTATTTGTAAGCATGGATCCTAGGGTTCAGTATGTCATTGGATCTTGTGGATCCCATACCTGATATTGACATGTGTTGTATATTTGTCAATGACTGGTTCCATGATTTGCAAAATGGTTGATTGGTGCCATGAAAACCATTTTTATGGTTACATGTACTTATGTATCAAGTGCATAAAGTTAGATTTAAAAAAGTGACTTTTTGACTAAAGAGGGGTTACCATATCATTATTTATCTAGTTTTAAATGGAACAATTTCAAATTATAAATCTACGTTTAAGTAAAGTTGTGATTTTTTGTGATCCTTAGCAAAGTGTGAGTAGTGTAGAAGTAACACAAGAGAGACTGCTTGTCCCGTGTAGTGCCAAACGGTGTTTCCATCACTTCCAGATATGGCGATCCCTGGGGTTTGGTTCCTCTGGGAAACCATAGTTACCAGACCTAGCATCGAGAACAAAATCAAATTCGTGTTTCTCTGTATGTTTAAAGCACTTGTATAGTTTGCAGTATTTCATAAATGATTAAATCATTTTAAATAGTGTAATTTTTTAAGCGTTGATGTTTGAAATATGTGTTTGAAATATAGTGGCTGGTTGGTTGGTTTGTTGTTTAACGCCGCACTCAGCAATATTCCAGCTATATGGCGGCTGTCTGTAAATAATCGAGTCTGGACCAGACAATCCAGTGATCAACAGCATGAGCATCGATCTACGCAGTTGGGAACCGATGACATATGTCAACCAAGTCAGCGAACCTGACTACCCGATCCCACTCTTACGACAAATATGGGTTACTGAGGTTTCATTCTAACCGGATCTTCAGGGGTTACAATCACTGAATAAGCGCCGTTCTGTTGAATTACTGGACGCTGGTAAATATCATTGCACAATTTACAGGCCGACGTAATAACACTGTGACGCACGCACGCACGCACGCACGCACGCACGCACGCACACACGCACACACAAACAAAAGCACGCACACACACACACACACACACGACTGAAAGGAGTCTGGTGAACATTGAGGTCAACGCCAAATTAACTCTCCCCAAGCCTCCAGACGCCCAATGGGAATGTTTCGAGCTATAGCAGTGAGTGGCGGCATGATAGCGATATTCTTCCTTTTCGCCAACAAATGCCAATGACCGTCTAAATGCAAAACGGCCTAATATATGCATTGTCTCTGCAATGATTCCTCAGAACCGCACGTGCATATTGCGAAACCCTTTCTCAATGACATTTTTATACAAGATGACACTTTCGAACGTAAACGTGCATTAAAGCTTCCACAGATGCGTTTTTCGATGTGCATCCGTTCCATGTACAAAAACCAGCTTTATATTGGCAATATTATAACATCAAACACTAATTTTTGAAAACATTTGAAATTTCCTATATCAATATCACATATGGGTTTCATTTTGGAGAGTATACGTAACATATAACATAACCTTCACTTGTGTAGGCATGGTCTATAATGATGATTCTCAATATGGTGTTAAAGAAGCATAATTATCGGTCTCTAGCCTACCACTATAAGGTGTGGGTCTGGTTGATTGTACCCGATAATGAAATCTCGTGGGTTTCACCATGGTGATGAAGGTCAGAGACCTGGGTGACGTTTGGCGTTACATAGTGAGTGAGTGAGTTTAGTTTTACGCCGCTTTTAGCAACATTCCAGCAATATCACGGCGGGGGACTCCAGAAATGGGCTTCACACATTGTACCCATGTGGGGAATTGAACCCGGGTCTTCAGCGTGACGAGCGAACGCTTTAACCACTAGGCTACCCCCTAGTGAAAGTAGCCACGTTGTCTGAATATGTCCATCTCCGAACGACATCACAATGGCAGTCCTACAACGATGTTCATATGATGATGTGGGTATGCCTGCCATGTCACTTGATAAGTGCATACCATTATTATTTATATGTATTAGGGAATATGTTACAGTGTTTTGGAAATACGTGCGCTCAAAATACATCATAAACACATGCAAAGGAACGTCAATTTGTCGTATGAAATACAACGAAAACCACATGATACCATTCAAAATTAGGAATTGTATGGAATACTTTTGTCCCCGATACGTCAAAGTTGGAAAAGTCTTCCAAAAAATCAACCGTAAAACCTTAAATGACGATCTTGAACAAACATATGACGCTCTCTGAAATGTTCGTAAATGGAACTTGATCGTTTTAATGCATTCAGGGCTCATTGCCATGGGAGCCGTACACAAAGTGCCTCATTTACAGTATAAATGTGGATTCGAACCCTGTCCTCAGCGTGACGATTTAACCACCTGGCTTAGGCATTTAGTGAGAATCATTAATTTCGGAAATGAAGGCCACCACACCCATTATTCTCAAACAATATCCTGAATGCTGGCAGGACGCGCGTTGTTTTGTATACTTATAAACACATATCTCAGTGTACACAGTAAACATAATCAACCTTTCTTATATTTGGTTAGTGAATTATCGTGTCATCAAATTTTCTGATCCGTCAATTGATTATCGATTTGCTGCTTACACGAGGACCGCTGTGCGGCGTGGGCAACAAATACTTATTGTGCACATTGTGTGGGGCGTGCTTCCTCCTTCCGCCGTCTTCCGTGACATCACTGATTTTCGGCGACATATTCATAAAACCTTCTGTTTTGCTTTTAACGACCAATTGGATCTAAATATTGCGACGGATATTCAGTAACCCGTGCTTGTAAGAGACGACTAACGGGATCGGGTGGTCATGCTCGTTGACCTGGTTGACACATCTCATCGTATCCCAACTGCGTAGATCTATGCTCATGATATTGATCACTGGATTGTGTGGTCCAAACTCGATTATGATAGCCATATACCTGGAATACTGAGTGCGGCGTTAAACAACAAACAAACAAATACTTTGACGTAAATGGAGGCTGGCTATTTTCAGTCGTTGACGATTAATCTTGAATTAACGACATCACTGATTTCGTACCGTATCGTTAAAATATTTTGGTGTGTATATGATTAAATATGTATTCTATGAAGTTATTGATAGGTATTTGATGAAGCAAATGCACAAAGTGAAACCGGTTTTGATGTTCATACCTGTTTAATCGAATAGCGAATTCTATTCTTAAATATACTCACCAATAAAAGGTTGTAAATATAAATGGACATTTTTATGAAATTATGTGATATTGATGACCCCTAACTAGTCTCTCGTACAGACCCTGAAGCAAATATATCCAAGAAAGCCCACACAAGTCTAGAAAATGTGGCAAGTCTAGATTTCCTCAAATGAAGAAAGTCGCGAGAGGGGCTCCTTTTCATTATATTTTTTTTACTATGAACTTTTTGTCAGTCTAACCCCTAACCTATTGTTCAACATTCCACATCTCCGTCTCTGTCCCAGCATGACGTCATCAAATACATCCCATTGTTGTCACGTGAGGACAATACCGGGCTTTGTTAACTACTGAAAGACGACACCTGACATTATCACTGACATGCCTATTTCTTCATAATTATATAATTAATACTTCTTTTTTTAGCTCTATAAAGCCATATAATTATTTAAAGGATAGGTCATGAATAAATTTGACTAAACATTCCACTCTCGAGAGTATAATGACGGCATTATTAATGTAATGGCAATGAAATGAATAAACGTAGCAATATTTTTAATATTTTCGTTACAAAAATTATGTAGATTATCGCTTGGTCTCATCAAATATCTAATTTTGATAGAAACATGCAACTTCAAACTGAAAACTGAAAAGGAGCCGACATGAGGAGTTTAGTTTAGCATGGAATCTAGACTTGACTCTAATGGGGCTGCCTTAGGGCAGTGAGGAGTAATAGTGGTGAAAGACTTCCCGGACTTCCGGGTTCGATTCCAAATATGGATACAATGTGTGAAGAAATGTCTGGTGTACTCAGCTGTAAATTCCTGTGGCATAAAACCCGACTCACTCCCTCACACAATCGATTCCTGGATATATGGAAGATGGTCCTTAATAAAGTTCATCTCTCAAAGAAACTGTATCTGGTTACGAAATGTTTGAGCGTTTGTGCACTTAGTCCATCAAAACTTCATTAAAAACAAAAGTTGATAAGTCTTGACAAGGATCTTATAAGCTTTAATTAGAAACATACGATGCTGCTCGTATATGACGTGACAGTTGAATGTTAACAATCCAAGATTATGTTTTAGTACCTTAAATATTCACCTTAATAATGTGGACGGATTCGAAAGGTGATCCGCCTAGTGGTTAAAGCGTTGGCTCGTCACGCCGAAGACCCAGGTTCGATTCCTCACATGGGCACAATGTGTTGAAGCCCATTTCTGGTGTCCCCGCCGTGATATTGCTGGAATATTGCTAAAAGCGGCGTAAAACTAAACTCATTAATACCACCATTTTCACACTTGAAATGCATAATAACAAATATTGTCTTTTAGATTCTACAGAATCTTGCACTTCTAGAGCATATTGTCCCTGCCTGGTGCTCGGCTTTAATGGGTACAACAAGGACTGGTCGGCTTGGAGTCAGTATAATGTGTCTGAGTGGGGTATTCATGCTTCACTGCGGCATGTTATCTCAGTGGGCTAGCACTATAAAACCAGCTTCAGTCTGGGCTAGTACAAGCAGCCGCACATATATATACACACGCATGCACGTCGTCATATGAGCGAAATATTCTCAAGCACGACGTTAAACCCAATTTCACCTCACCTCATTTAGAAATCCCGTTGGCGGAAAGGACACAAGTAGTGCTCATACCACTAGGATAACAGTGAACACGAAAATCACGTGCAGTCGTAACACGTGGCCGTATCTCGAACAGTACGGAATACAAGTTGTATTATGATTTGCGTTCTGTCTCTGGATTATTTTGTGATCTGTACTACGTGGATTTTCACTTGGACTACTTGGACTATACTCAGTGAGTATGCTGTGGAATTGCTTCTTTTGAAATACTACCGTTCTATTTCGAATAGAAACAACATGTAGAGCACTCGTCTATAATACTGAAAAATGTGAATATAACGAAACACCCATAATGTGTTTTTCTTAAACTTTTTGATAAGTTAGACGAGCGAACAGTACGAAATGCAACCGTTGTGGTATGATTGGTGTATTTCTACCGAACTATTTTGCCATCCGTGCTGTGTGGATTTTCTTTTCAAACGCGGACTCTACTCAATGAGTGTGTTTTGGAATTGTTATAATTTTACACAACAGGTACCAGCACTCATCTATGTATGAAATTATGTGAATAACGAAACACCCATATGTGTTTTTCTTTAAAACTTTTGACATGTCGTAACAAGACAGAACACGCAATGCAAAGCGTTGTACTACGACTGGTGTTCTCTCATGGGTTACTTCATGCGATCTGTGCCAGATAGATTTTCACTTTGAACTCTGATCAGTGTGTATGTTTTGGTTAGGTCATCATTTTGAGTAATACCACTGGTTTATTTCGAATATCATGGCACTCATCCATGTCTGATAATGTGAATATAACGAAACACCCATATGTGTGTTTCTTAAAAACCTTTGATATGTCGCAATTTAAAAGTACGCAATGCAAGCGTTGTACTACGACTGGCGCTCTTTCGCGGGTTACTCTATGCGATCTGTGCCAGATAGATTTTCACCTTGAACTCTGTTTAGTGAGTATGTTTTGGTTTGGTTATTATTTTGAGGAATACTACCGTAACCGTTTTATTTCGAATAGACACATGTAGAGCAATGGTGTGAAGATAACGAAAACACCTATATTTGTTTTGTTTTTTTGTTTCTGTTTACTTTTGATATGTAATAACTCGAACAATACGCAATGCAAGCGTTGTACTATGCAGGTCGGGGAGAACCTGAAAACGACCTATAATAGTTAGATCAAGCTATAGTAGTTCAGACGAGCTATATGCCTATAGGTCGATCGAGCTATAATAGCACATACATGGAAGAGGCCCTTTAAGAACAACTTTCCGCACCGCGGTCATCGCATTGCTACACACGACTGGAATCGTCTAACCCATATTTGAAGCCACTGGCACCACAAACCCGAGCGTTTGTGATATATGAGCTGCTAAACTACCTAACCCTATGGACATTGATACTTGGGAAACAAAATAACACACCAAAAAACAGAAAATATACCCCGAAACTTGGAGGCCCACCTCGCGAACGGCTGAACTTGACGATTGCATGACTTCCGGTTTGGAAATTGTACGTTAATCACAGTTGTATGTATCACAGTCAATTGAAACAAACGCTCGAGAGGTGGTGCAAGGCAAGAAGACCTGTCCGTCGACAACTTCTGTTAGCTCTGCATAAGCAACGTCGACTTGACTGGGCTCAACGTCATCGTAACATAACGTTACAACATTGGCGTCATCATTCGTAACCAACTCGTGTTATTCCGGGACAAGCCGAATAGCGACTCGTGCCCCTCTGGAAGGATTTCATATTGGCGCATGAACATCAGAACTACTTTAAACGAGAACGATAACTCTATCCCTGTTTGATTCCAATGTTTCTTAATATCACCGAAGCACATGTACATTGTATTGCTAGGTTGTTGTTTTTGTTTTTGTTTACTTATTTATCTTAAGGGAATTAATCCTCTCTTTGATACAACTAAAGGAGAAAAACATATTTGTTAAAGACATCATATTCCAATGTAGTTATTACCAGCTGTTCACTTTATATTTCCAATTATGTTAATTATTTTAATAGGGTTTAATAATCAAAAATAGGAATTGTTTTATTGAATATACAAATAAAATAATATGTTTTCGGCTACATTAAATCCCAAAGCAGATACTCAAAGAAATGACTTTAAAATGTTTCTCAAACTGAACGTTCGTGTAACCTTGCTGTCACACCCCAGGTGGAATTTTAAAATGAATTCGCTGAAAAAATATATGAATGACCAAAAACAGTCAGACTAAAATATCCCCAGAGATGTGAAATATAAGCCCAATGTTAAAAGATTAAGGTTAATCAGTTACATACAAAGTATGATATTATTGTTTTGAAACTCGTAGCGATTATAATTACATTTCCTAAAATTGGTCGAAGCGCACGTACAATCTCCATAACAAGCCTGCCGCAGATCGTTAGAAATACACTCCGTTGGACCATGCGAGCCGTTATGTCAACAAACGCACGTGTGTATTTGAATCTCTCACCGTCAATCGCATGATTCTTATTAAAAACTTCATAATAGCCAGCAAAATCCTGTTAGCTACGTTCTTTGTACTTTCAATATGACGATATATTTTTCATGATTCTTTAAACAATGACATAATGCCATAAACGATTTTAAGTACTCAGGATTATTTTTTATCAAAGCACCGCGCTCATTTACGCGTTCTGATTGGTTTGTTGTATAACAAGCTTCGATAGGGGGACGAGTCTTTTTGGAGGTTACGGAAAGGGGGCGAGTGGTGACGATAATGGCGTTATGTCATCTTTTTCTGACGAATCCCGATTTCCTTCTACAGAGGGTAGATAGAAGAATTCGAGTTCGACGATTGACTGGAGAAAGGTTTATAAAAGATTGTGTGGAAGGTCAGAAGTTGCGGGCGTGGTTCTGTTTCTGTTTTGGTATGGGGTGGATTCATTACAATGGAAAAACAGAACTTCGTGTTGTTCATGAAAACGACATTTTTGGAAAACCATTTGATTCCACATGCACGTCAAGTATACGGCAACAAGCTCCTGCTGCAAGGATAATGAGGCTGCTCCACATCGTGCCAGGGCCGTTGGCGCTTTCTGAAAGGAAGGGTGTTAACAGTTTGCACTGGCCAGCGAAAAAAGTCAGACATTAATCCAATTGAGGCACATGTGAGGGCCACCTGGACAGGCAAGTGCGACAGTTGGTAGTCCCTCCTGGAAATCTGGATGACTTAGGTACAACCTTGGTTCGAATCTGGAACTCTACAGGACGAGACATTGTCAACAACCTTGGTGATAGCATGAGGCGACGGATTACCTCCTTTTAGTCACGTAGCAGAGCTTCTCGCTATTGACTCATCATTTTCCTGACAACTGATCATGAATGTTCTGAGACAGTTGTCCTCAAAATCTAATCTGCAACAAATTTTGTATTGAATAAAGCTAAGCTTATTCATAAGTCAGTCGCACGTGTAAAAGTGAGTAGTTTTTAGGGAGCATGTCTTTGTGTAGTCGTTTACTAAAATCGTAGACGTATAAAGTTCTTAAGACAATTATTCAATGTTAAGTAACGACCACCTCCGTGGTGTAGTGGTTAGAGCGTCCGCCCGGAGAGTGGAAGGTCGCGGGTTCGATCCCCGACCGCGTCATACCAAAAGACGTTAAAATATGGTACTTGTTGGTCCCCGTCTGGCGCTCGGCATTAATGGGTACAATAAGGACTGGTCGGCTCGGAGTCGGTATAATGTGTCTGGAGTGGGTATTCATGCTTCACTGCGGCATGGTATCTCAGTGGGCTAGCACTATAAAGCCAGCTTCAGTCTGGGCTAGTACAAGCAGCCGCACACACACATATACATGCACGTCGTCATATGAGTGAAATATTCTCAAGCACGACGTAAAACCCAATTTCACCTCATCAATGTTAGTAACATAATTTAGTTTCAATAAAGCCATTAAACAAACTGGAAGGATTAACAAGTGAAAACTGAAAAGCCGTAAAAAACAAAAACACTTAGTTATCAAAAAGGGGGTGACAACCATTATGGACATAAGTATATCTGATATTGATAGTAACAAATAAACCCATTTAGATTTGGAAATGATCCCCAGTGAGTTGGGAGATTCCTGAACCTGGGGAAATCTAGACTGCTTCATTTAGAGCTTTAGCATTGCAGGAGGGCTAGGCAGTTGAGAAAATAATGTGGTTCAGGGACTGTGAGACAGACTAACCTATCTCTGATTGCAACCCCCGAACAAACTTCACCCAGAGACAAAGAGCCATGATATAACGGCGATATCGCCAAATAGGCGCCAAACGAAACACAGTTGTCTGTAGCCAGAACAAAGAAACAACTGACATATCGCTAAAGTGGAGTGAAACAGCACGCGCACACGACACATTCGCCATATCTGAAACATGGGTTGGCTTACAGTAATTTTAACTACCTATAAACATTGATTTATTTGATCTCGATGGAGTTTTTTCTGAGCATGAGTCAGTCATGCTGTGTCTGGGAACAGTTATCAACAATTGTAAAATGGCCGAGTAATGGAAGGTCAGAACAAACAGATTCAGATCACGTCCCTACTTTTAATCACTCTGAACTTTAGTCTCTGACATTCTATAAACTCGTTGTTCCGTATCACACAATGCCAATTTGGCAGTAGTTCACTTGCGGCTTCGTCATGATGCAACGAGAGAAGGGTTTTCTGCTTTATTAGCGAATCTTTGTTCTTTACTTGTTTGTTCTGTATTCATGGATACAGAATGTGCCACAGTTCCTGAACAGGATCCGAGCATCGTTCACCAAAATGATGAAGTTCCACATTTTGCCTCAGCAACAGGAAATACTCACAGTCGCCCGCGGAAACCAGCTACAACGGAAGGTGTGACGACGTCTGGAGACAACGGATAGTGTGACGACGTCTGCGACAAAGGGCTGCTGTGACGACATCTGAGACCACGGATAGTGTGACGACGTCTGCGACAACGGATGGTGTGACGACGTCTGCGACAACGGATGCTGTGACGACATCTGAGACCACGGATGGTGTGACGACGTCTGCGACAACGGATGCTGTGACGACATCTGAGACCACGGATAGTGTGACGAAGTTTGAGCCATCATTTCAGATCCTAATACTGAGAACAGAAGCGAGACAAGCACATATTCCTTTGAGCTGCAATACACAGCTCAAAGCGGCGTCTTCGTCCGGGTGGCCGAGAAGACATTCAGTGGGTTTGTTGGCATTTTTGAAGATAACGACTTCAGGAACACCTTCGCAGATGGCCACGGTGTTGTCAGCGCAACATCGGCAACGCCGAGGTATGAAGTGTTGTTTGAAAGTTCTGACAGAAGATGGCAAAGTAAAGTGTTCGTCAACGTGAAAAACACGACACAGCTCAGAGTTAAACAGCTTCTCCTGAAGACCAACGTTGAAGACGAGATTGTTTTCAACAAAGGTGAAACTGTGGAAATCAGAGTTCAAACTGCCAAGAGAAATGAAAGCAGGCATCCGTTTGACAACGGGTTAGTGTTCGGTATGTACTCATTCAGTAGGAACAATACCGACACGGTGTTTGATGCTAGCTCGAACTTCCTGGGATTATTGAGAAAACCAATACGAAAGAATTCGTTGATTACGATGAACACACGTTGGTCGTCAACCGTGGCGGCGAGGATTACGAAGGAGCTGTCTATGTTGGTATGTACATGCACAGTAGAGGTTCCCTTGAGGGCATACGGCAATGAACAGACCATTACTCTCAAGAATGGCACATCACCGGAACCCGTATCCTGAAGGTTCTCTTGGCTTTTAAGAGTTAAGCAGATTCCTTGGAATACTTTTGTATAGAAGGACGAACTTGTGCAACATTATCAGCCATTGTTGGTAACGATCCTGAAGGCATAACATTATGGAAAAGGCATGCTGATGGACGAAAAGAATTGATGGAAGTTCCTTTTCATGAATACAGATATGAGTATGTTTTTATGAAGAGATTTTATCTATCTAACATATCGAGATCGGAGGCAGGTGTGTACACCTACAGAGGCACTGACTCAACTGGAAACGTGGTTGAAAAGGACTTTGAACTGAATGTGATTACTCTTTGAGAACTGCTTTATTCCTAAACAAACTTTGGTTGTATACTATTCACACTTTGGTAAGGATCAAATCATGGATTCATCAGAAAACTATTACGTGGGGTCAAATTTTGTTTAAATACCTAAGCTTATTTGTAAGCATGGATCCTAGGGTTCAGTATGTCATTGGATCTTGTGGATCCCATACCTGATATTGACATGTGTTGTATATTTGTCAATGACTGGTTCCATGATTTGGCAAAATGGTTGATTGGTGCCATGAAAACCATTTTTATGGTTACATGTACTTATGTATCAAGTGCATAAAAGTTAGATTTAAAAGTGACTTTTTGACTAAAGAGGGGTTACCATATCATTATTTATCTAGTTTTAAATGGAACAATTTCAAATTATAAATCTACGTTTTAAGTAAAGTTGTGATTTTTGTGATCCTTAGCAAAGTGTGAGTAGTGTAGAAGTAACACAAGAGAGACTGCTTGTCCCGTGTAGTGCCAAACGGTGTTTCCATCACTTCCAGATATGGCGATCCCTGGGTTTGGTTCCTCTGAGGAAACCA